ATCGGGCTCATATATATATATATTCATAATTGCAATCGGAAGTGCTGTTAACGCATTAGCTGCACTGAGAAAAATGGCCCAGCTGCTGCGCAACCAAGAGGTACAGAAGGATACCAGCTGACTCGTTGAGAAATGCTTTGCCAGCAGCCCTGTTGCGAAGGGGGTGCTGAATTCTGCTAAAAAATGGAATATGGTACGTGGGAGGATCTGTATGTGAAGGGCAGGGGGTCCGGCACCACTCCTCATCCATTAACAACCTCTCTCTATTCAAATGATGCCATGAAAAAAGACTACTGCAGGCTCCATGTGACACAGAGTCCAAGGGCTTAAACTTAAAATGGTGCATGGTTCCTGTGAACGCTTGCTTTACTCAGCTCTGAGCCATACAACCTAACCATGCAATCTGCAGTCGCTGCACTCTGAACCTTCCAAACCGCCACATCCAAAGTTGCTCAAGTTCTTATGTCAAGTGTGTACCTGCCCCAGAGAGATGAGGTTCTCGTCCCCATGTATCGGAGACTTTCCCTACACGACGGTTTACGCAGGACTCCTCAGTTCATAGCAAAATGACTGCCATCGCAGCCCCCTTCTTGGAGAATTATTCATGAGCTATGGAAACACTAAAGCCCAGAATTTGCATGCCATGAACTGACTCCGTCCAATCAGCTCCATGCCACTGTTTCCTCAAGCACCACGTGGTCAACATGAATACCCCGAGAATTATATTGAAGAATATGTTGGCATTCCATGAAAAGTGCCAAGTTCTGCTCTTTCCTGCTCCATTCCTGCCTTGACCTTAGGCCCGGAAATAACTATCAACAGAGTACTCGCAACGGGTTTGCGGCCCCACAAATTGGAAGTCTCATAAGCGTGAAGCACTACTGCCTGCAAAGATGCTGCTCGTGGCGCTCTTCCGCTTTGCGTTTCCTTGGATCTTACGCGCACGGCTGAGGAGATGCGAGTTGCTGCGCGTCCGTTCGGCTCCTGCTACAGTTTTTCGAGAGGAGGGGGACGCGTGTGGCCCCAATTAGTAAATGGTTGCCGGCGCACAGTCTGCGGGGACCTTGCGAACATAAGTGCAAGCGTGTTATCGGAAATCCTCACCCAGAACTGGTCAGACAGAGGAGGGTCCTCACCGGGGGCTGCTTGCGTTGGCTGCCCGTGCGACCACCGCGCTTGGGCCACGCTTTAGGTGCCATAGCGCTGCTTACTGTTGTTGGTGGTGGTGTTGGAGTGGTTGCTGCTGCTGCTGTGGCTGGTGGACCAGGAGACAGGGAAGTGGGGAGGCGGGGGAATCGGGATTGGCCTGGCGCTGCCCCAGGGGGTCGAAAAAGATGTGGGGGGTTGAAAAAAAGGCCACACAACCTAGACCTGAGTTGGCATCGATACTCATCTGACTTCATTCCAAGCAAAATCCTTCATGGTTTGCCCTTAAAAGGAGGTGTATATCAATCGTGGGTCTACATTAGGATGTAGGAAGGGCGCAGGGTATTGGCAAAGGGTAGAGCCGAGGTCCCTGGACTAGAAACTGCGCCAAGGCTTAGGAGGAAAGCTTCAAGGTTGAGGGTTAACGGTTTAGGCTTAAAGTTGTGTAGCAATCTTGGGTTCAGGACGCAGGCTTCGAGGTCTAGGGTTGAGGGTTTGACTTGGGAAGAGGGTTTCAGGGCGTAAATACAGGCTAGTCATCTTGCTGGGCAATCAGTACTTCAAACCCTCACCTTGAAATGAGGTTCTAGTTCAGGGCCCGGGTTTCGGCTTAACTGTCCCGGTAGCTTGTTCGGACTCGTGTTAGGCCTAAGCTGGCATCAAGCAACGAAGAGGTTATAGAATTGTAGGACTAAACACTTAATCTTAAACCGTGCAACGAGAAAAAGCTAATCCCTGAAGATAATAGAGGTGATTTTGCAGATGTAAAAAGTGTATGGAAATCCGTCATATGAGGATCCCTTCTGCAATCCCTATTAAGGGGAAAGGGTTTTTTAATCACGGGTCTAGAGTCTACATTACCCCTTAAATCCTACAACCTCAGTGCCAGACGCCTTTCCTGGTCACGTAGTTGCTGGCCCCTCCCCCCCTCCCACCCCACCTGCACCCCACACCCCTCCCTCCCACCCCACCCCCCCTCCCTTTTTGGATGGGGGGTTGGGGGAACCTTTTCTTCGCCCCTCCCTCCTGTGGATGTTGTGTGGCTCTCACAGGTGGAGGAATTCCATAGGAATTACATATGCCATTTCTAAGCTTATATGGGTTCCCAAAATTGGGGAAACCTTTTTAGGGATCCCCAAAATAAGGACTATAGTATATTGGGGTTTATATTGGGGTACCCTAATTTTGGGAAACTACCATATGGTATGGGGATGAGATTATCTATAGACGTGTAGATATAGAGGTGGATCATCATTCCTATGCAGCGTGTGCAGTGTTTCTGAGCTGTTCAGAGGGTCTTAGAAGGACACATAAGCTTCATGGTGGAATATTAGAAATGGTAGTTTCCCAAAATAAAGGGACCCCAATATAGACCCCAAAATACTATAGTCCTTATTATGGGGACCCCAATATGGGACCCTAATTTTGGAAAACCCCCAAATGTTCAAATACCAACATCTACCACAGCCCGAAGGATCATGCCACAAACTAGCCCATCCCTGTAACTGTCGGCATATTTTGAATCTTGTACACTGAGGTCAGACTCCAAAAGTGCCGACAGTCACGAAGATGGCACGTTCCAGACACCCAATCCCCGACACTGTTGGCATTTTTGAGATTGAGAAATCCTAAAAGCGTTGAAGGTCACAGAGATTCCGCGCGTTCATGCCCCCCCCCCCTCCCAGACGCCAGACGCCCGGCCGTACATAAGCTATAATCTAAAGTCCTTGAAGGGGGTTTTATAGGGGATATACAGGGGAGTACTATAGGGGTATTAACGGGGATACTAGAAATTTTCATTATAGCTCATGTGCACCCTCTACACCTTCTTTACCCCTGGGACCTCCACCCGGCCGATGCCCTGAAGCTGCGGCGCTGCGGCATCTGCTGACATTTCCGGAATGCTCAGCGAAAGCCTCACTGCGGATACCCTCCCCCAAACTAACATGGAACCTGCACAAAGGGCTTACACATACTTCTGTCCCTGAAACAAGGGTCTTTTGGGGCTCCATGTTATTTTGGGGGAGAGTAAAACCTTCCTTGCGGTTAGTCGGGAATGAAGGAATGGGTTTTGGTTGGAGTCTACCTGTGGACTACAAAAGGCATGTAAGAAGAGGAAAAAGTACTTGCTAGGGAAGAAGTATTTGTTGGGGATATAAAGCGCTCGGGATTTGGAGCGAATCATCATCTCGTCGATGCCAAGCCCTAGGCCCCCCACACACAAAATACATTAGGAAAAGATACCCTAAACCGATTATCGTATGCCTGGGGTAGAAAAGCTCAGGGCCGGGCTTGTGATTTTGGCGTTTGGACCCTTTTCGGTGAGGCCCCCTCCGGAATTTACAAGTGCTCCATAGGAACAATGAACTGATGTATAGTTTTCATGTACTGTAGACCTAAAGAATTCCCAACATTCCGGTCCTAGTTTTCCGTGTAAGTTCGCGCATGGGAACCTCGAATAGAAACTCAAAATCATGCCGTAAACGTAAACAGTTCTGCCCCTATATTTCATAATCCCTGTAGACCCACTATATAAGCCCTGTTCAATTTAATTTCCTACTTTCTCTTCCGTTTGATTCCCAGTATTGAGTGCTTAACCCTAAACCCTAAACTCTAAACCCTACACCCTAAACCCTAAACTCGGGATGTGGGACTAAGCGCTAGGCTTTGAGACTCTGGATGGAGCTCGAAGCCTAGACCCTAAGACACGCAGAATGAGGGGCATAGTGTAGAAGCTTGAAAAAATGTTTAGGGCTTAGGGGGTTCTGGTGTTTAGGGCTTAGGGCCCTTGAAGCCATGCTACAGCTATAATATAGGCTCCAAACCCCCTATGCCCTAGAGCAATGCGGCCCTATACAGCGCTGCTAGCCCTAAACCCTGCACCCTACATTCCAACCCCATGATCTAGGGACCTTAGGAGGGACCCCTGATAGGGACCCTTAATCCCATTATCATATATAGCCCTTATATAGTCA